GCTTGCTAGCCATTACACCACCTCGAGGCGCCCAATCTGGAAATGAAGATAACGTCATAATCAAGCTGATAACTTTCCACGCTGCCTTAAAAATCGTTAGGAACGAAACTCTTTTCAATACTCGCAATAGCGTTAGCAATTAATTGAGACGTTTATTTAACTGAAAGATTTTATAAATTTATGCGAATTGAAACACTATCTCTTCGGTTCATATATGCTGAAAGTTTCATATATGAAAACGGTTAAGAGAGAAAGGGAGAGAGAGAGAGAGACTCTGTGTGTGTGTGTGTGTGTGTGTGTGTGTGTGTGTGTGTGTTACACTAGGGCTTAACTGACAAGTATTCGCAATTCTCAATTTGATTATCGCTGTTTTCAGCCATGTTGTCTTCAGTTTTAATTTTCTTCGTTTTTTGTTTGTTTGTTTGTTTGTTTGATTTTTGGGTTTTTTTTATTCTTCGCCTTTCACTATCGTTCCCAGTGCTAGAAAAAAGTTTCGATTTCATATTCAGGGGATTCTTTTCGATTGACCTTTTGATTCGATCTGTTTGCCGAAACAGATAATTTCACAACTCGGTAAAGTCTTCTCCTCTTCTTTGTGACTGTAGAATCCGGTCTTATGTGATCAGTTTAAATCTTACAGTCCCGGGGGTGGGGTTTATGATTTTTCTTTCTCTCTCTGTGACATATTCTAGACTTTGAAACGAATACTGGTCGGTATATTAAAACTATAATGTAGCTGGCCACTCGTATTCGAGGATACCCATCTACTGGGGCAGTTAGCCAATCCCTATTGCAGACGCTTGCTCAGGCGCATTTGTATTTATTCAACATCCACAGAGCCCACCTGTGGTTTATACTGCAACCATGCTGACAATTTCTGGTAAAAAAAAAGCGTTATTTTGCGTGATCAATAATTTGAACAAGGCTAGCACGCACAAGCCCTCGGCCATGATGACTTGGGACTTTGTCCTAGCACAGCTATCGACGGACCCCAATTTCACTCACAAGTGGTATGGTTTTCATTCACTTTCCAAAGGTGCCTCACCCTGGGATCGACCGATAACATCAGGAAGTCCCATTCCTGACAGATCGACCATGGTGAGATTCGAACCCGGGTCTCATGGTCAGTATACTAACGTCCTAACCACTTGGCCACGTGCCCATATTAAAATACCCGTGCAAATTTCCCTACCGCATTATTAAATATTAGCGCTTAACAACTTAATCAAAATATTGCAATAGCAATCATAAATATGAACGATAAACTACATCCGCGTCACGTGTAAGACGATAAAATACATCCGCACCCTGGGTAAGATGATAAAATACATCCACGCCCTGGGTAAGATGATAAAATACATCCACGCCCTGGGTAAGATGATAAAATACACCCGCGTCACGTGTAAGATGATAAAATACATCCACGCCCTGGGTAAGATGATAAAATACATCCACGCCATGGGTAAGATGATAAAATACATCCACGCCCTGGGTAAGACGATAAAATACATCCACGCCCTGGGTAAGATGATAAAATACATCCACGCCCTGGGTAAGATGATAAAATACATCCACGCCATGGGTAAGATGATAAAATACATCCACGCCATGGGTAAGATGATAAAATACATCCACGCCCTGGGTAAGATGATATAAAATACATCCACGCCCTGGGTAAGATGATAAAATACATCCACGCCCTGGGTAAGATGATAAAAATACATCCACGCCCTGGGTAAGATGATAAAATACACCCGCGTCATGGGTAAGACGATAAAATACATCCACGTCATGGGTAAGATGATAAAATACATCCACGCCATGGGTAAGATGATAAAATACATCCACGCCCTGGGTAAGACGATAAAATGAATCCACGCCATGGGTAAGATGATAAAATACATCCACGCCCTGGGTAAGATGATAAAAAATACATCCACGCCCTGGGTAAGACGATAAAATACATCCACGCCCTGGGTGTAAGATGGGAAAATAGATCCACGCTCTGGGTAAGATGAAAAAATACATGAATGGGTAAGACGATAAATTTTTTACCAACAACGCCATTTTAAGAAAAAAAAATTATCCAATAAAAATCATGGTAAGATGATAAAATAAACCCATTGAGGTTGATAAGATGAAAAATAAAACAAACCAAATGATAAATACATGAATGCCATGGGTAAGATGATAAAATACATCCACGCCCTGGGTAAACGAAAAAACTTTACATCCACGCCAATGGGTAAGATGATAAAATACATCCACGCCCTGGTTAAGATGATAAAATTTCTTTCCACGCCTTGGGTAAGACGATAAAATACATCCACGCCCTAGGTAAGATGATAAAATACATCCACGCCCTAAGTTCTTTAAAAATACATCCACCTTCTGGGTAAGACGATCGTTTTTTTCTTACTTTCACGCATTTTCTAAAAAAGATGATGAAAAATACATCCACGCCCTTTTTAAGATGATAAAAACACCCGCGTCACGTTAAGATGATATATTCATCCACGAGACGTTGGTTAATTTTTCTTTAAAATCACATCCCCATTTTTAATGATTTTGGGTAAGATGATAAAATACATCCACGCAGATGGGTAATTTATTAAATACATCCACGCCCTTTTGGGTAAGATGATAAATACATTCCGTCGTTCGGTACCCTGAGTCGGTAAAATGATTCTTTTATCCACCTTTTGGTCGAGATTATAAAATACATCCACGCCATGTTCTTAAGAAGCTTAAAAATACATCCACGCCCTGTAAGACGATAAAATACATCCACGCCCTGGGAAATGATAAAATACATCCACGCCCTCTTTCCAAGCAATTAAAAAACATCCAGAATAGCCTGGGTAAGACGATAAAATACATCCACCGGCCCTGGGTAAGACGATAAAATACATCCACGCCATTGACAGGGAAAGAATGAAAAAAATCCACGCCATGGGAAAGAAAGAAAAAAAAGAAAGACCGTTTAACGCCTGTTTCAATATGGAAAACTTACACCCAAATCTAATCATTTGTAAGACGATAAAATACGATCCACGCCATGGGTAAGTTGATAAAATATTTCCATGCCCTGGGTAAGATGATAAAGGCCAAACGTGTCACGGGTAAGATGAGAACTCGCTACTCAGTTGTAATGGGCAAGACGAGAAAACTTCCTAATCCGAGGTGTAAGGCGACAAAATACATGCATCATGGATTATTCCAAATTTTATTCCGTTGTTAGCTCAAAGACGATAAAGTGAATCCAACAACAAGGTCTTGAAGAGATGTGGAACCACCTCTTCGCTGCAGGTTTATTCCCAATCATTAACCAGAAGAGTGGTAAAGATTCAGGGTCAGAATATTAAAATAGGAAAACCTCCAAAAGTTTTCAATGGGTCATTCTATGAACGTTGTTAAAAATAGGTTTTAATATTTCCTTTGATTTCTGGAAAATTTTTTACCAACAATACATTTTGAAAAAAATTATCAACAATAAAAATCATGTCGGCATTAAATAACCCATTGACAAAAAAAAAAAAAAACAAACAAACCAAATCATAAATATGAATGCTGGTCGTTATTTTAAGATGGGCTTCCAGGAAATTCAATGATTTGAATCTTTTTTCCAACTTTGTCCATTTCAATGAAACAGACGCTAGATACTTTTATTTCCATTTCAAGGTCCTTGTATTTTGACAGCTTTTTTAATATCTTCAAAGATACATTGCAGTCTACAGGAACTGCCATATCAATAAGGAGGCACATTTTTGTTTGGGGTCTTTAATAACTATGTTTGGGCGATTGGCTTTGATTGTTCTGTCAGTGTTTATTGTGTAGTCCCATAGAATTGTAACAGGTCCTATCTCCGTAACCGGGTCTGGGTGGTGTTCATACCAGTTTCTTTCCGTTTCCTTAACATTATTATTATTATTATTATTATTATTTCCTTTGATTTCTGGTGTATACTCATTTCTTTCGGGGTCTCGACCAGAAATCTAAGGTCAGAAATGGCATCATGACATTTTCCAATGAACAATTTTGAAAAAAAATCGCAAGTATTTTACATAGATAAAACCATTCTTAAGGCGTGGGCTGTACTTGTGAGAACATTTTCTTTTGTATTTCTTTAACCCATGGGCTCCCAGGAATCCCTTCAATGAGTCTATTGGAATCTTTCTGAGGGCTCCAACTACAACTGAAATTGTTGATGTCATCTTATGCCACATTTTTGAGATTTCGATTTCAAGGTCCTTGTATTTTGAGTTTTTTGAAGAATTTGAACGATTCATTGCAGTTTGCAGAGACTACCATCTTAATAATGAGGCACATTTTTATTTGCGGTCTCTGATCACGATGTCTGGGTGATTAGCTTTGATTTTTTATTTTGTCTCTGTGGGTTGTAAAGTCCCATAAAATTGTTACACGTCCTATTTCCGTACGCGGGTTTGGATGGTGTTGATACCAAATTCTTGTAGTTTCCTTTCCGTAACAGCTGTAGATTTTTCAGTGCAGATAATGTCATGCCGAGTTTTTTATACAGTGGGAACCATTACCCCGCAAACTAATACAAAGTGGTCAATTGTTTCTGGATATTTATCACAGAATCTGCATTTTGGGCTAACACAGTTTTTCAGTAAGTGTGTTTGATAATTTCTTGTTAGCAAGCATTGGCCCTGTGCAGCAAGATAAAACCTTCGGTTTCAGCTTTTAACCCAGCACTACATAGTCAGTGATGGGTACGGGAGTTTTGTCTACATCAGCTTGTTTGGTACGAGTAGAGTATTGGCCAGGAAGAGGTTTATCTTGCCATCGTTTCTATATCAGGTCGATTGCATTTGACTTTGCTTTCTTTTTTAAGTATTTTGCAGCTGCAGTCGCTGTATTATGCTTTACTTGCATTTTAAACGCCATTTTGAACTTGCTGGCTTCCTTCATTTATCTATTTATTTATTATTATTATTGATTCGTCACTGTTTTTATTTCCAGTTAATGAACCTGACGAAATGGAGAATTCTGCAGAACCAGTCGAGACGGAAAGCGAGGCGGCGTTAAGTCCTGAAGAAGCACGCCGCTTGGAAGCCGAAGCCTCGCTTCGCAATATGCTCGACGAGGTGGACACTGAAGACAAATTACGGAATCAAGATTCCAATGAGGAGGAAACCGAAGAGACACTTAATTACCAACAAGTGAAAGGTTAGTAAAAAAAACATTTTCGCATTAAAATAAATTATTTGGAGTCAAAACTTTCAATTAAAAAAACTTTGTTTACATGAAAGCAAATTATGTCTTCGGCGGAAGACCTTACAAAATATCAGTGAAGATAAATTCTAAACACCAAAATTCTTTTTCCTCACTACTACCTTTAAGTCTAAATAACTATACTAGATAAATTCTAAGGTAGATGTCATGGAGTTCAAGCGATATTTTATCCAAATATTTTATTAATATTTTTTGTTATAATTTCACCCCAAGAAACAAGGCCACTAAGATGAAAGGGTGGAGAGTAATTGTCTATGGTTAAAGATAATTCTTCATCGTTGAAACGGAGTCTGTGTCTAGGTCTGTAAACCTGTAGAGTAATTGTCTCTGGTTAAACGTAATTGGCAAAAATTCTTAAGAAAACTGACAAAGTTTGCAATAAACTATAACAAGAGAAAAAGAACAGGCTAAAAATAATATTGAACAGATATGTGCAAGGCAAAGCAACCGTAATAAGGCAAAACAACCGTAATAAGGCAAAAAGTTCACAAACTGTAAACGGTGTTAACACGCAAAAGTGGATACACACAAGCGATCGCAGCGTTCTGACTTTAAGAGAAGAAAGAACAGGACTAAGTCAGATGAGATCGAGAATTGGCCTCTCTTATTGGCTTGGAAGAAATCCCAGCATGCATCTGTGTGTTTTGTCTATAAATTTAAGAAGGTGGGTACCAAGATCGGACAGAACCAAGTCGGATGAGACTGAGAAGTGACCTATCTTATTGGCTTGGAAGAAATCCCAGCATGCATCTATATAGTTTGTCAATAAATTTGTAATGTTTCCTAAATCTGATTTGTGTACATTTTAATAAAATTAAAAAAGAAGAAAAAATATTTGTACATAGGAATATTTTTAAAATCATGGGTATTTTATTGAGGCCCCAGCGATGAGGTGGTACTCTGGTACATGTCGTAATGGATTGTAAAGGATGGGCTCTTGCGTTGTGAAAGGTTTACGAGTCGGATTTGCTAGACGTAGGATAGATAGTGTAGACCAGCATTGCCCACTTCCCATTCGGACTTGTGCCGGAAATGCATGTAAAATCATGTTTTAAATAAATATTACTAAATGTGGTTGGAACCAACAGAGACATTATGAGGAAAAAAAGCTATTAAGAAAAGAGAACAAATAAATGAATAAAAATTAACGATTGATGTTGTGTTGTATTTTATTTTATTTTATTTATTTATTTTTATTTTATTTATTTATTTTTTCATTTAAATTTTCGAATTTGACTGGAAAGCAAGAAGAGAGTTCCACAAACGAAAAGTTCGAGAGAAGAATCTGCTAGCATAGAACTTGCGGTTACATCTAGCCGTTTCAACTGCCAAATGACCTTGTCCCCAATCCCATAGTGTGCTTAAATTCATAAAGTTTAGGTACCACAAAAGAAAATTCATCAGAACATCTACCATGAAAGACTCAGGGGAGCTGCGTTACGGCGGTGGGAAAGCCACTGAAGTCGAGATGCCAGGTCAGGGCCAATAACATTGCAGATTCTTCTTTCAAGAATCTCTAGACATGTAGCAGGGTCAGCAGACCAGATGTTGCGGCAGTATTCAAAGCAAGGATGAATGGCGGACTTATAAATTGTATAAGATAGATTCTGGCGGGAAAAATTGTCTAGCACTTAGTGAACCAACTTTCTTGGCTGCAGATTAAGCAATTGATTATATGCAACCCGCGGGAAAGTGTCGTGGTTTTGTGACCAATGAAAGAATTTAATGGAGTTCTTTTGAGTACAGATATTAGAAGACAGAGAAAATCATAAACGATATTGGTTTTGAATTAACGGTGGGGATTAACTTTCTGAGTTTGTGGAGGCACATTTCTCAAAAATTATTTAAACCTAAATTATTTGAATTTAGCGTTTGGACGACGATTTACACAAATGCTGCTGATATTTTCCGACATAGTAGAAATCAGGTCCCGTGACGTGTCATTTAATTTGTCAACCAATGAAAATACTCTATTCTTTCTAATATAAATAATAGAGCAAAAATTCATCTTTTTCTCAATGAGTTCAAACACAATTTGGATTAAACAACAACTAATAAGTTATTAAATATGTAATTTATATTCGAGCTATTATCCTCATCTTTGTTGTTATTATCACAACGTTTCGGCCGTAGTGCTCTCTGGCGTGCTTCAGTTGGTTGTTGATCCGGGTAAAGTTCAGGGAATTTCAAACTAAGATAGTTCTCATTGTGTTGTCACTATACAGGGATATCTCGTTTTTTTTTTTATTTTATTTTATTTTTGTTTTGCTATTTTTCCTCGCCTTGTGCCACCAAATTCATGAAACAAAGCGTTAATCGATGCCAGGAGTGGCTAAACTTACTTAATGTATGAGCCGCACACGATAAAGTTCAAATTTTTGAGAGCCACAAGACATGAACAAAATTTACACATACGTTTTTGTTACATAAACATTTTGTTACAATTTTTTAGTATAAATATTAAGAAATACATTTATGCAACAATATTTATTCATGTATACAGTTTATGAAACTGTTTACTAACATATATATCTATATCTCTGAGATGAGGTATTAGGATTACTTGTATTATTTACATTATTCGGACTGTTATCCTCATCTTCATTGCCATATTCACAACGTTTCAACCATTGTACGCTCCGGCCTTTATGTCTATGTCTCTCTATATATCTGTCAATATCTCTGAGATGAGGTATTATGATTACTTTCATTATTTACATTATTCGGACTGTTATCCTCATCTTCATTGCCATATTCACAACTTTTCGGCCGTTATACGCTACGGCCTTTTTGTCTATGTCTCTCTATATAACTGTCTATATCTCTGAGATGAGGTATTATGATTACTTGCATTATTTACATTATTCGGATTGTTATCCTGTTATTGCCTTATTCGCAACATTTCGGACGTTGTCTCTTCCTTTATGATTGGAATTTGGAACCGATATCCTTTATTTCGAGATGAGGTATTAGATTGTTCTAGTTATTTACATCATTCGGACCGGATTATCCGTCATCTTCATTTAACTCAATATTCCAAGTTTTTTGGTTCACCACTGCTGTGAGCTGTTATTCTATGTCTCACAACCCTTTGGGTCTAGTCACTGAGATCTAACCAACGATGATTATCCAATGGGCCATGTGTATTCAAGGACTGTTATTTACTCATGAATATTAAACTTAAGTTTTAATCCAATGGCGTCTCAATTCATATCCAGTGAATAATTATAACTGTTTGAATTTTTGAGATGCATCCTTTATATTAACTTGAAGAATTTACATTATTCGGATAGTTCCACGAGCTTCATATTAAAGGTCAAAGGCTTCGAGAGCTGCCGTTTGGCCATCCCTGCTCCAGGCTATTATGACAATGGAAATCTTAGCTTAAAACATAATTCTGAGATGATGATATTATGATTGTTTGCATTATTTACATTACGAGAATGAGATCCTGACTTCAAGGTCATATTAATGTGGGGTTTCGAGTTGTACGCTCCGGGGACAAATGTCTATCAGCCCCTCTATATATCTTGTTATAGCCTGAGATGAAGTACCGATGATTCTTTTGCAATGGGAGGCGCGGCATTAGGCGGACTGTTCCCCCCTGGGCTTGCACATATTCAGTAACATTTCCGACGTTGACCCCTCTGTCCTGACAGAGAATTTGGAATCGAACCCTGTCCAAGAACGACGCGACTGAGAGATTGTACTAGTTCCATTAAAAATCCCTCCTAAGATGTCTCCGTTATTTCCATTTAACTCAACTCTCAAGTTTTTGAGACCGCTTGCTGTGAGCTCACATTACTTCACAAGGCATATTTTGGGTTACCTTGTTGATATTCGGTTTAACCAAACCTTATTTTTTTTTAGCCCATGTGACTTTAACAAACGAGAAATAAGCATGACGGATTAAACTTAAGTTTTAATTCAATGGCGTGAAGATATCGCGTTGAATAATTATAAACTGAATTTTTTATATCAGGCTTTATATAACGGTTGAAAAAAAAATACAGGTTCGATTCCATCGGAGACACATGTTAGGTATGAGATTTCAAATATTCAGGCCGTTAAATGTTGGCCAATACTGTTTCCAGGCTTTACTTAAATATTATTTACTTAAATATTTGTGTCTATATAAATAACGTATAACAATAAAATATATTAAAATAATTGTCGGGCTTAATCCATTTCATAATAACGACGTAATTTGTTTACGCTTCGAGCTGATATGAACATTCGAGGGAAATCGTAGGAAATTTGTACCTTAAAAGCAGTAATTCGACTTTGCTAACAAGACGCTTCCTCTGTAGCTAAATGGTATATATAACGGTTCTGTGTAGGATACAGGTTCGATTCCTCTCGGAGGGCACATATTTTCTATGCGTTTTCTCGGACATTCAGGCCGGTAAATGTTAATACTGTTTATTATAAACGGAGAATTTACTTAAATATTTGTATCTATAAAAATAACGTATGAAAATATGTTATGAAAGTCCGACAATTATTTTTAAGACATTTTTATGCTTATACATTCTTTTTATAGATACAAATATTTAAGTAAATGCTCTGTTTATAATAAACAGTATTAACAACATTTACCGGCATGAATGTCCGAGAAATTTTAATAGAAAACATGCGTCCTCCGACATGAATCGAACCTGTATCCTATACGAAACCGTCATAAAGCCTGTAAAATCATGTAGAATTGTACTTTAAAAACATTAAAAATCGACCTTGTTAACCGAAACGCTCGTTTGTGGCAAAATCGGTAAAACCACGTCAGGCTATCTAACGGTACCGTATAGGATACAGGTTCGACTCCTCTCGGAGGACGCATATTTTCTATGACAATTTCTCGGACATTCAAGCCGGTAAATGTTAATACTGTTTATTATAAACAGAGCATTTAATTAAATATTTGTATCTATAAAAAAGAATGTATAAACATAAAAATGTCATATATATATATATATATATATATATATTCTACCTAACTTTCTGTCCAAAGACAATTTCTGTGAATGTATATATCGGTTTCTTTGTTATGAAATGTAGTTTTTCCAACATGCCTGTATTTTTTTATTTTCATTTCAAATCATGTTTTTGTTGAGGCTGTTGTTGCTGTTCGCCTTTAACGAAAAATATCATGGATTTATATTGTCAAATCCCAGTTGTTTTCACAGCTTGCACTGGGTTATTTTCCTACCCAATCATGTGTCTCTCTGAGACAGCTTACACTATTATTATTATTATTATTATTATTATTATTATTATTAACACATGAGTGTCTGAAGCCTCCGTTGCCCATGTGTTAATAATGCTATCAACCAGTGGGAAAATGTTCTCTTTCCATATACCTGTATTATCCGAAACCAAATTACGCGGAAATTATTTCATCATAAATGTGTGATCGTCGCTGCCGCCGTTTTAAACCGGCGCCATCTCTCAGGAGAACTTCAAAGAAGAATTCATATCAGTAGGCCTGTTTACTCGACAGGCAACCGCCATCTTTCTTTAAGCAGCAGATAAGTTTGACACCTCCAGTACATATGCGCCAACGCTCACTCGGTAGAAGCGGGAGAAGAAAATGCGTCCAAATTTCAAACACGATGGAAGAGAGAGAGGGGGGAGGGGATGAGAGAGAGGGTGATGGAGATAGATAGAACGAGAGAGAAAGAGAGAGAGAGAGAGAGAGATTTCACTTAGAAAATACTCCACGCCCGCGAATTTTTCGCTGGGAAATGCAAAAATAAAATTATGTGAAATGAGTGAATGAAGTAAAGAAAAACCCTGGTGATCTAAAACAAGAAAATTAAAAGCTACTTAAAGGTTATAAAAGTTTTAACTTTTTACTTATTAGAGTACCTATCTAGTTTTTCGAACAGCCCCCTTTCAATTGTTTTTGGCACAATATCGCAGACACTTATTTTCATGTGGATTTTTATTTTATAAATGCCTGGTCGTTCACGATGTAGGTTCTCATGGCTCTCCACAGCTTCGTTTTTCTCTATCATTTGTAAATTGCTCTGATTTCTTGGGAAATATAGTGTAATGGTTTCCCGTTTCTCATTTCCCCGGGTTTTAATTCAGAATATAGTAGCCCTCACTTAAGGCTGGAGAGCCTATTCTACCCTGTTAGTTTATGACTTGTATAGCGATCAACGTCTGAGCGAATTTAAATTATAAACCCAGTTTTTCTGTTTATTTATGTTCCATACGTCGTTCTTGTTCAAATCCCTGTTAAAGTCAAAATTTCGAATACAAGATCACCCTACTTTAAAAAATTTCTTTAGTCTTACAATCCTAATTTGGTGTTTTGCCTTACTCAGCTAAGGCATACTGTTGAAAACACCGTGTTACAGAATGCGAAGGCCAGGGCCAGAATGGTCAGCAATTGGCCGCAGTTTCTCGTGAGCGTGGTATTCCGACAATGACGAGTTGCCTTTTTTTGAGGGGTTTGAATATAAAACCTAAACGGCACGAATCCAACAGAGGGTCTCAAGAATTCTGACGCGTCGATATGCCTCCCACTGCCAGGTCTGAGACTAGCTAATACCACCACGGAAGGAAGCTGAGCCAACATGAAACATGCGTTCCTGTGACGTCATTTCTCCTATTGTCTTTTACAATCCAAGCTGACACTCTTAATAGAACAAATACCAAAAATAAATTACCCATTTTGTATATACCATTTTATGTTGTAGCGTAAGATCTAAAACGCAACAACTGGTTCCCATACGATCACAGAATTTAAGCAACGTCGAGTTTGGTCAGTACTTAGATGGGTAACCGCTTCGGAATAGCAGGTGCTGTAAAATTGGAATGTGCTGTGGTGTAATGGATAATAGCACGGAATTGTTAATCGGAGAGCCGAGTTTCGTTTCATGTCGAGTTCGTTATATCTACTTACGGGCATTTTGGGAAATGTATTAATCCACCTCTTCTCCCTCCAGCTATGGGTTAATTAGTATGATTTCTAACACTAAATCATTATTATCTCCCCACAAAAAATCTTCCAGACTAAAAATATTTTCTGGCTTTACGACTTCCTCTCTGATTATGGAAGATATCTTTGTTTTTCAAATTCCTCTCTGACTGTGGATGACACCTTTTTTTTACGAATTCCTCTCTCATTGTGGATGACATCTTTCTTTTCTTCTACGATTGTGATCGATATTTTTGTTCTATGACCTCTCCCAATTGTGGACGACATCGTCGCTTCAGAGTGTGAATTATTTTTTTGTTTTAGAAATTCCTATTCGATCGTCGGCGACAGGTTTGATTTACGACTTCCTCTCCGATTTCTGCCGATATCTTTGGTTAGCAACTTTTTCTCAGATTGTGGATGACATCTTTGTTTTACGACTTCATATCTCATTTTAAATGACATATTTGATTTACGACTTCGGCTCTGATTGTGGATGACAACTTTGTTTTACGACTTCCTCTCTCATTGTGGATGACATCTTTGTTTTACGACTTCCTCTCACATTGTGAATTACATCTTTGTTTTACGACTTCATCTCTCATTGTGGATGACATCTTTGTTTTACGACTTCAGCTCACATTGTGGATGACATCTTTGTTTTACGACTTCATCTCTCATTGTGGGTGATATTTTTTTTACAACTTCCTCTCTCATTGAGGATGACATCTTTGTTTTACGACTTCCTCTCACATTGTGAATGACATCTTTGTCTTACGACCTACTCTCTGTTTGTGGATGACATCTTTGTTTTACGACTTCCTCTCTCATTGTGAATTACATCTTTGTTTTACGACTTCATCACTCATTGTGGATGACATCTTTGTTTTACGACTTCCTCTCTCATTGTGAATTACATCTTTGTTTTAAGACTTCCTCTCACATTGAGGATGACATCTTTTTTTACGACTTCCTTTCTCATTGTAGATGACATCTTTGCTTTACGACCTCATCTCTGATTGTGGATGCTATCTTTGTTTTACGACTTCCTCTCTGATTATGGATGGCATCTTGGTTTTTCGACTTCCTCTCTCATTTTGGATGACATCTTAGTTTTACAACTTTCGCTCTGATTGTGGATCTTTGTTTTACGACTTCATCTCAAATTGTGGATGACATCTTTGCTTTACGACCACATCTCTGATTGTGGAAAACATCTTTGTTTTACAATTTCCTCTCTGATTGTGGCTGACATCTCTGTTTTACGACTTCCTCTCTCATTGTAGATGACATTTTTTTTTACGACTTCTTCTCTCATTGTGGATGACAACTTTGTTTTACGACTTCCTTTCTCATTGTGAATGACATGTTTCTTTTACCACTTCCTCTCTAATTGTGGATGACATCTTTGTTTTGCAACTTTCTCTCTAATTGTAAATGACATCTTTGTTTTACGACTTCCTCTCTAATTATGGATGACATCTTTATTTTACGACTTCCTCTCTGATTGTGGATAACATCTTTGTTTTGCAACTTCCTCTCTAATTGTGGATGACATCTTTGTTTTGCAACTTCCTCTCTAATTGTGGATAACATCTTTGTTTTGAAACTTTCTCTCTAATTGTGAATGACATCTTTATTTTACGACTTCCTCTCTGATTGTGGATAACATCTTTGTTTTACAATTTCCTCTCTGATTGTGGCTGACATCTCTGTTTTACGACTTCCTCTCTCATTGTAGATGACATTTTTTTTACGACTTCTTCTCTCATTGTGGATGACAACTTTGTTTTACGACTTCCTTTCTCATTGTGAATGACATGTTTCTTTTACCACTTCCTCTCTAATTGTGGATGACATCTTTGTTTTGCAACTTCCTCTCTAATTGTGAATGACATCTCTGTTTTACGACTTCCTCTCTGATTGTGGGTGACGTCTTTGTTTTACGTCTTACACCCCGATTGTCGGCGATATCTTTTTTTTACGACTTTTTCTCCAATTGTGGACGACATCTTACTTTTATGACACCCACTCCGAGTGTGGACGATATCTTTGTTTTACGATTTCATCTTCGATTGCGAACGATATTTTTGCTTTTCGACTTTCTATAGGATTTTCGGCGGCATCTTTGTTTCATGACTTCTTCTCCGATTGTCGATGATTCCGAAGTTTTTCTCTACTTCTATATACCGTGTCCCTTTGCGGTCATTGCTCTCCACAATTTCCTGTTCTTTGTAGCTCTTAATAAATATTGTCTTTTTGTTATAAAGTCTGTTCTGATATTCATTTACTCGTTCCTCTTGCTTTCAATCTGTCCTGTGAGTATCAGATTTTCCAAGCGCTCTTTCCTCAATTTCCCCCCAGAAATTTCAATCCTCTCTTTCTGATGTTAAGTATAATTTTGTTTCCATTTTATCTTAAACTTTGACTTTTCTCACCGATTCGGTCCGTGATATTTTCAGCATTCTTCTGTAGAACTGCATTTCTGTTGCTTCAAATCCCGTCTTCATCTGCGACGAGATTGCTCAGAATTGACTGCCATGTAGGAGGACTGATATTGCGTAACTGTTCAGTACTCTTTTCTTTGTTTCTAACGAATGTTTACAACTTCATAGTCATATTTTCGAAGTAAAGGAAAGTAAGAAAAAGAAAATGATTAACTATTAATTATAAATGTTGTAACGTTTGGCTGTTAGCAAACGTGACAGCTCAGGATGCTAGCTTCAAATTGGAAGCGTCAGAATAGAATAAATATAGATATTTGGCTATCGGTGAATATCTTCTCTTTCTTTCTTTCTTGCTTTTCTTCTCTTTCTGCTTTCTTTGGGGGAAAATAATTATAACTGTAATAATCTTTATTTAGTACAGCCTGATGAGATGTGACGATAAACATCGAAACATGAATGCATTCATGTAAAAGCGGTTTTATACATGTTCCAGTGTAATATCCTATAATAAAAAAAATATTGCTCTACTTTTTAATTGTATTGAATCCTATTTTGAATTAATATTATGAACGTTTAAATTTATATTTGATTCTTTCTCATTTCATTTGGTTAAACAATCAGTTTAGTATCCTTTCTTTCACCATAGACCCACTGGAGTGACAGGGTGTAATCGATCTCTATTTTTTTTCCTCAGATTATGTCATTTACAGCGGTTTAGTAGTTGGTTTATGGTGAAATTTGTTTAGCCGAGAAAAATATTGCGTCATCCGTGATTGCATCAGATTTTCATCACGCCTAAACACTATTGTCCCGACTATCGATTAGTTGTCCTATAGTCATTGTCTGCGATGAGCGTTACTCCATGGAAGCGTACAAAAAATGTAACGCTGCACAAACACAATGGCAAGGCTTACCAGTTAGCAAATCAAAGTACTATCGACTGGCTAGAAAACTCTCCTGATTTAAATCCAATCGAGAATTCATGGTCAATCTGCAAGGAGCGATTTAACGGAATGGACATACGAAGTACTAATATGAGCACTGGGTCATGTTTCATTGGGAAAATACGGAAAAGTGAGTAATAACTGAAATATTCGTTTTCTTTCCATTAATTTGCAAGGGTATATATATATATATATATATATATATATATATATATATATATATATATATAATTTATAAATATATGTATATATATTTATATAAATAAATTCCCAAGAGGATAGAATTCAGGTAGAACTCAATGTCCAGGACAGAGTAAGAATATAACATTTTTTTTTTAATTTGTAGGTCTGATGAATTGGATCGTAATTACGATTCCAATGTAATAAATTATAACCATGGAATATTAGTGTTTGAGCCTTTTTTACTATATATATATATATATATATATATATATATATATATATATATATATATATATATATAAAATATATATATATATATATATATACATAAATATATATATATATATATATGATCAGTTTCTACTCGAACCACTCTTCTAAAATTAAATCTGGAATTATTATCGCTTTCTATCTAAGAGCATTAAGAATCTGTAGTCCTCAATATTTACTTAAAGAAGAAACATACATAGAAAACACATTCAAAACCTACAATACCCATATCATTTCGTCCACAACGCAAGAAGAAAGGCATACAAAATATACAAACGAAACAAAACTAATAACATAATCCGCAATAGTAAATTACATGAAAACAGATACATACTACCGACCAATTCTGTCACGTCCACTATCCAGAATAACCTATCCCATCTAAATAATCTTGAAATTGTCACAAACACTTCCAAAACCATTATGGATATACTAAGATCTTCAAACAATAATAACACTAATATTTCTGAAGTAGGCTTTTATAAAATAAATTGCCAAAACTGTTCATCCCAAAATATTGGAGAAACAAGAAATTAAAAAAAAAAAAAACGCATTTATGAGCACAAAAGAGACCTCAGAAAAAACAACTTAGCTAATGCACTAGTCATACATAGAAATAAATTCAACCACAATTTTGATTTTAAAAATCCTACACTCATAAAAAAAGTAAATAACTCACTCAAAAGGAAAATTCTAGAGAGTGCCGCCATAGAATATTACCTAAATATTAATCTACGCCCAGGTTCTTGGCTTATTTCACCATTCTAAACAAAATTACTGCTCTCCAAAACAAACATCCAGAACAGTATTAAGAAATCAAAAGAAAATGGTTGAATCCGTCAACACAACAATAAAAACATCTCCACACGTGACAATAAATGACGTAATTTTCAGTTAACAGTATGAAAATAGCGTTCTCTAAATTCTTCCAGTTGCTAAGGACATTTTGTTTTTGTTATTATTAGTTACTTTGTTTAAATAAATTAATTTCGTTTTTTGCTTTGAGAAAGTCCACATTGGACGAAACGCGTCGGCAACTAAGTTACTACAGTCTTTTTCCTAGTATTTTACATATATATATATATATATATATATATATATATATATATACCATATATCGAGCCATTTGATTTATCCACATTAATACCTATATACATATATATAAAAACATAAATATAAAATATTAAAGTTCTGCACCAAACTCAGCTAATTTAGTAAAATATCTACATAGTAATCTGGCTTTAGTGCATTTAGTAAAAAGCTTGTCCTTCTCTTCGTTAGTTCCTTAGTTTGCACGGCCGTTACGCTCTGCCAGTACCTCATAAATAATGGACTATTTCGTTTTGATAGCCTAAGATAAACACATGGTGGAGTAATTGTTATCGGTTCGGTTTGAGGAATCGAAGAGCCGAGATCGAATACAAGAGTTCATTACATTCGCTTACGTGCTAATACCCTTGGGAAAGGTCTGAATCCATCTCTTCTCACTCGCTAAGCGCAAAATAGCAGGACAGACTGGGTTTTATAACCTTTGGGTGGCAATCAGTCTAGAAGAAGAAAACTCTGAATTCAAACCACCTGCCGCCTCGGATCTTGCCTCTTTTGGCAAAGGCTAGAAGGTAACTTAAAAAAACAAATCCACTTCTGAGAGGAGCGACGGGATAACCTCAACATCCCTAGAGGAAAAGGAACTGGTAGGCCATTGCTGTAGCCACTATTCTGCATTGAATATTACGATGAACCATAACAGTAAGAAGGAGGGAAGTGCAGACCTTGGCGTCGTAAAACTAATTGAATAAAATGAAATGAATTTAAATACTAGTTATGCTGATGATTGTTAGTAAGTTTGGCTCGATGCTACATTATTAAAGAGTTGATGTCAGTATAGCTTTAGTTGAGTAAATTAAATCCATGTAAATCCTTTAGCCTTAATAATAAGTGATGTTCGACGGTAAGCAGAGAGTAATGCAACGCCAGTCTATCCTAATCGATGACTCTGATGACGTCAATGATAGGCTCTGGTTACCATAATTCCCAGTTCGAACGGCAAAGCACGTCATCATTAACTGCACAAAGGAAAAATCGATTATTCACGTCAGTCCGTACGCAGAAATAATCGAATTATTTACAGATACAATTATTTCAAGACG